ACACATAGGGCTATCTGTACTCTGCCCCACGGGTATCGAAACCCAGATTCTAGCGTTGTAAGTCCGCAGACATACTGCTGTGCCACTGGGGGATTCTTCTATTGTACACTTAATTTGACCATTCAAACGTCAAAATTTTAGATGGAATTCAGTTTGAGTAGTCCAACCTATCTATATGTAAACAAAAGTCGTGGAATTTTACATTAATATATCGTATTTATGCCTGGTGGTTAAGGCGCTCGACTGGCAATCTGAGGGTCGCGAGTTCCAATCCCCGTTATCAAACATGTCCGTCCCTTCGGCTGTGGGGGCGATAAAATGTGACGGTAAATCCCACTATTCGTTGATAAAAGAGTAGCCCAAGAGTTGGCGGTGGGTAATATTGACTAGCTACTTTCCCTCTAATTCCCTCTATCGCAGGTAGCCCTCTTGTAGGTTTGCGCGAAATTCAAAACAAACAAAACAATCGTATTTATGTATTTATCCGCTCATTAGTATGTCATATTACAGTATGCAGAAATTTATTCATTGTGTACATTATTGAGAGAAAGGACTTCCTTCCACATATTAATATTGTGTTTAACTTGTTTATGGGTTAAAGAATTAAATTCAAGGCTAGTTACTTTTAAGGCAAAGATGATGGAAACCTGCAGCAATACTTTAGTCTATTATGGTTGTTTTTATATTTGAGAGGAATAATTGATATATCTCGGAGAAGAGGTTTGTTTGTTTGTTTTGAATTTCGCGCAAAGCTACACGAGGGCTGAGACTAGAGGTCATCACTACCCACTACCAACTCTTGGGCTACTCTTTTACCAACTAATAGTACCCTAACCAACTGGCCATGCCGGGCCATCTTGGAGAAGAATGTAATGATATATCCATTTAATTATTTCAATAGTCATTTACGCGTCAGTCTATAGTCAAACTGCATTTTTGGTGTAAAAAGACGCTTCGTAATGGCGGTAATATTGACAAAAACATTACAGAAACTAATAACCTACATATATAGATGGATTTTTTTTGTTTTTATTTCAGGTAAAGCTACTTGAGGACTATCTGCACTAG